TGGATTCAACCGATGAACAACATCTGTTTTGTCTCCATTACATCTACTTGCCAAGAGTTCAAAGGGCAGCTGCAGAATTCTGAAATCAGTGGAACAACCATGGATTGTCTACAGAGGGAGGACAGACACCTCTACAATTGTGGCACAGAGGTGTTCTCCAATCTGCTGGAGCTGATGCTACTCGGGACATTTTTGTTAGACATGATGCCTTTGGAATCAATGAAGACAACCCTCCTGAGTTAGAGACTGAGAACAATGTTGTTGTTACAGAAAATGACTTCACTGTGAATGCAGCAGTTATGGACAGGATTCAACATACAATATATCCATTGAGTGATGATGGTAATCATGGTATCAGTTTATTTTTAGGGCTGCTACATACACACAACACTTGCTAAAGCTATGATGTAACTGTCAAGTAACAAGTAATAACGAATCAATGAATGAATTGCAAGGCCAGTTTCAACCCCTGATGTATCACAAATTCAAATAATATAATACCTGACATCCTCTGGAATTTTGTTTTGGAATGCCTCTTGAATCTCTGCAATGACTGTCCTGTTGTCCCACATTTTCCTAATCTCAAAGGCGCTTAGAATTAAGCCATTCTCGTGAAGTTTTCTTTTTGTTTTGTGTTTACAAACTTCATCCCATGCAGAATGGGGTAGGAGGATGACATTTTTGTTAAAACTGGGATGGTGCTGGGTGGTAGGCCTGAAAGAAAGAAAAAAAAAGAGTGCACTGTAATTGCATGTTGTCAGTAAGCCAATGTTTTGGTTTTTTGTACATGTTAAGTTGGTGAATAATTTCATCTTAATATGGGTAAGCTTATGTTTTACTTTCAGACGATAGCCTGGAAGTGGAGCAATTCTAAAGCCTGGAATACACTACGATTTTGTAAACGTTCCTGTTTGATGCCAACTCACACTGTACGAGTAAATATGTCGCGATGTGAGGCACAAGCTCATGATTTCTGTGCTCACACTGTACGGTCCGATCCTCAGGTACGACCTGAGTGCTCACACTGGCATTAAAGAAAAAATGAA